GTAGTGGGAAGGGGTGGGTAGACCTGGCCTCTGGAGGGGGGGCGCGCTCTGGGGTGGGGGGGGAGATCGAGCCAGGGGGTGGAGGAGATGGGGGAACCGGCGGGATAGGGGGGAACTTACCTCCTCCTCCTGCTTCCTCCTCTTCCTCATAGTTGTGGAGCTCCCCCTCTCCCGCGAGTATCGCGGGTCCCCCCCCTGTTCTGTTGTAAATGGGAATACAATCATCTGGAACCGCTGAAGTTCCTAGTTACCAATAGAAGCTCCATCTCCATCCTGAATTCTGGCACCTGTTTCTGTACTTCCACTTTCCCTCTTAATTATACGACATTGCTAAACTGTAGGTTGATAGAACATAAAATTGCATTCATGTTATATATGAGTGCTTGAACTTAATATTTTGGTTAGAGAGAGGGTTCCAACATCTGTAATTCTCAGCTTTTCAACTCCACTTTAATAAACACATTATGATCTGTTTACCATATTTTATGTTTTATTTCAAAAAGTCAAATGCTATGTCCTCTGTTCTTCATCTAGAAAAGTAGCCTTAAGTTGAACATTTGAAATGGTTATGTTACGAGTTTTAAGAGTAAGTTGATGCATTGTTAGGTAAAGTCGAAGTACACCCCTTATTGGACGTATGGCCTATATTATATGTGTTGCAGTGTTTGATACCTGGAAGTTGCAGGGATTGGCATGAAAAGCCCATAAACAAAAATATTAGCTATCCCAGAATATAGATTTCTTTTTATTTAGTTCTAGTGAAGACTTGATAGGTTGTCGCAGTACAATCAGGTCTATGCAGGACCAGTAGATTATGTACATCTTCATTGGTGGTTTTGTTTTTTGGGTTTTTTTTGCTAAGTGCTGAGGTGGAAGAAGCAAACCAGCAGCAATGCATATAAAGGAGATATAGAATGTTAACTTTCAACTGATTTTAGAGAAGTTAATTGGGCATCAACTGTGTATGTGTGTGAGTGTGAATCTATATTAATAAAATTTGTTTTAAAGTAACTTTGAAATGATACTTTGTTTTCCAGATTTATTTAATTCATAATCTTATGTCAGTGATTGATCAATATAGAGTTTCACTGTGGAAGCTCAAACTAGAAACTTCTAAGTTGTCCAAATAAATCAGTGGTTAGAATACTTAATAATGCTACATGAAAACTAAAGTAAATCATTTGCGACACAAGAAACTAAAGGCATCTAGACTTACAAGTAGAGAAATGTAAAATATCCAGAAATGTTGAAGCCATGGGGAACCCCCCCCAAAACAGCAACAACAACAACCACATTTCAGGAAAAGTAGAAATACATTGTGCCTAAACATATTTTACTGCTCTAACATAACATCCATCATTTGTAACTTAGTATGTAAAAGTGTATTCATTAGCCTTGTAGAGAAATATGTTTTACTTTGGAGGTTTGGACTGTACAAAACATTGAACTGCATTTTCAAAAGTTTTTTCCCCTCTGTCTTGCAGAGAACTTACAGAGGTGCGGCTTCCCTGTTCATCTGTTAAAAAAGTAACACAGAAGCAGGGCCAGCTCACCCGCTAGGCAAACTAGGCATTCGCCCAGAGCGTGAGCTGGCCCTTGGGGCGCCAAACTGGACCCGGCCCCCCGCCAAAAGCCCTGCATCTCCCTGGCTGCCGCCACCTCTTTCTCCCCGAGTCCAGAAAGCGCTGAGCTTGCCGGACTCAGGGAGAAAGAGGTGGCAGTCATGGAGATGCAAGGCTTTTGGCGGAGGCGGGGCCGGATGCAGTTTGGCGCCACCCCCCAAAACTGTGCCTTCCCCTCCAAAAGCGCCGCCCGAGGCACCCCGCACATCCGTCCGGTGGTGGGCTCCCCTCTGACCGGTGGCGGCAACTCACTGGGGCTGGGGTGGACACAGGTGGCCTGTCTTCCAATGGGGGCTCGGCCTGGCCCGACACACCCGCTCCCTGTCCCCCGCCCG